TGATATCTCTTTCGCTTTTTTAAAAACCACTCTAAATTTAAAAGTATAGGTAAATTTTGTTATCTGGCAAATACTTATGATCATAAATTTTTTTTTGTTATTATATAATAAAGTTTATTCGAATTGAAACTCAGTCAGCTAATTGTGACTTTACAAGTTTTTTATATATAGTTTGTAATAGAACTTTTCAACTCAAAATAGAAAAAACATAAGATTATATTTATAATCTTATTTTTTACATTCGTATTTGATATCTATTTGAATTCAGTTGTTCTACCACTTGTCATTAAAGTAATTCTGTATATACCAGTAGATATCACAAAGGTAAAATATTAAATTTTTAATTTTTAAAGCAAATAACTAGTAAAAGTTGGTAATTTTCTTGATTTTAAGTTTCTAGTATTATATGCAAAAGTTACAAAATATTAGATATGAGCAAAGTTAGTTATATATTATTACTTAATATTACTTAATATTACTATAAAATAGGTAATAATAAGTAATTTTATAATAATTTAATTATTAGTAGCAATTTTTCGTTCAATCTCAATTTTGATCATTCGCCTCTGACTGTTATCATGTATTTTATATGTATATATAATAAGTAATAGAATGTAATAAATATTTAATATTATTTAATATTAAGTAAGGAATAAGTCATAGGTTATTATTACTTATAATATTACTTTGCTTATCTCTACAAAATATGCTATGAATGTAAAATATAATAGTAATAATAGAGCTGATCTTTGATTCTAGCTAATAAAAGTTCTTTCTAATAAACTATTAAATTCAAACTTAAGTGGATCAAGTATAAAATATCTTAAGTAAAAGTTAATGAGAATAACCTAGTCTCAAATGCGAAAGTAAAAGCTTTAGCAAATTTATACTATTTATAAATTACAAGCTCTTTTTTTCAGGATAATTGCTCATCTACACCTTTCAAGAGATCAGGTTTTTTTCTTATCAAGCAAATAATGATGCTATTGAGATAGATTTATAGTAAAAATAAGTAGCTCAATAGTATCTTAGTTTTTAAAATATGATTATAGCAAATTAGAAAATTAATACATAGTGATAAAATTTTAATTCGTATATTTTTATATATTAGTAAAAAATCTAATGAATTATTTACTTTATTTATAGAAAAGGTAATAAAAAAAGGAAATTCATATTATCAGAAATATGAATCTAATTCTTTATAGCAATAAATATGATATATTATGTGAATTATATAAAAATAAAATATTCAATAGTAAAAAATTGAATAACTAATTGATTTATGCTTAAGTAATCAAATTCTATATTTCTAACTATTCTTGTATATTACTATGAAAAATATCTGATATAGGAAATTCTTATAAAATATATGATCCTGGTGAATTGTATAAAAAAGAAATAGAAGATAAATACAAAGTATTCATTTATTATTAAATATTAGCTAAGTAATTTATATCAGAATTTAAATTTTAACAAATTTGTACACACTTATATGTATATAATTTATAGTGAAATTATTCTTTACGAAACTTAATACTATAGTCTAACTAAGAATTAATACACATAAGTGCTTGTATACTTTTCTCAGATAGACGTGCACATTTAGCTTAGACAGTATTACCTGCTTTAGAAAATACTTGTTCAGAAGGTACTGATATAGATTGAACAGCTAAATAATCTTTAGCTATCTGAGACAAATTTGAAAAATGAGTACAATTAAATTTCTACTAGTTTAATAGATCGATATCTATTGGTAAAATATCCTTACTCAAATACTAAGTAAATTCATCAGGTTTATTAGAAGTATTTGTTTTATGCTTTTTTTAAGCTACCTGTTCTGTATATATTAAATTTAATGGCACTTCTAAATTTGTAGGTAAACTATTTAGAATAAGGTTAGAGTATTTTGTTTTAAAAATACTATTAAAAATAGAACAGTTTGCTTCAATATTCATATCATTAGATATTAATTCTAATTTAATTTGAGGATCGAGGATAGCAGCTATAAATGCTATTTTATCATAGATTTCATTAGTATATTTTTGAATTTTTCCAAACATTCATGTTGTAGCTTCTTTGAGAAATTCTGGACTTGTTGAATCATGAATATATAATAAGATATTATCAATAATATCATCAATTAGTAAAATAGAAATACCTAAAGTTGTATAAGTACTACCAGAAAGAACATTAGTTGTTTCATAAAATAGTTCAAGAAATTGTATTGCAGTATGAAGATTAGCTTCTTCTTGTAATGTAAGTTTAAATTTGTGAAAATTTTTATTATGTCTAATAACAGTAGCAATTGTTGTTAGCATAGTTATATAAGCTGAAAGCATTATATATGTACTATTCCACTGAGTTGAGACATCTTATAGAATTTTATGAATTGCTTCACTTTCACTGATTGATTGTCTAAGTTCTTTAAAATCCTGAGTTATAGATGATAATGATGAGATAATATTAACAAAGTTATGTACTTTTTCAATTGATGATTTAATAGATAATAAACTAGCTGTAACAATAAAGTTTAATATATGAGCTAAGCAACGACAAGAACGAAAATGAAAATTATTTTTTAAAACTAAATTCTCTTTTAATAATTGCATTACTGAAATTATATTAGAGCCTCTATCAGTAGTAGTACAAAAAACTTTGCTAGTAATATTAAAAGCTGCAAGAATAGAGCATAACCGTTCATTAATCTCTTCACCAGTATGTAGATAAGGAAGCATACAAATATCAAGTAAGATTTTTTTAAGCTTCCACTCATTATCTATTTAATATGCTGTAATACAAATAAAAGGCATATTAGCACAAGAGGTCTATATATCTAATGTAATAGAGATTTTGCTAGTAATTTGTTCAAAAAGAGATATAATATCTTTTTGCATAACAATAAAGGCTTTTTGGATAGTAGATTTTATAGTTTCATACGATGATAAGTCAATATTAATATTAAGATATTGAAGCATTTTAGCAAATGATTTGCTTGAAACAATAGAAAAAGGTAAGGTATTTAATACAATCTATTCAGTAATTAATATATTCAAATGAATTTTTTAAGCTAATATTAGGGTTTGTCTCGAAATTATAGTTTCAGGTGTAAATGTAAGAAGTTGTTGCTTTGATTCTAGATTTTTTGTATTCCAACCTGAATGTTGAGAATTAAGATGCTTGTACAAGGTACCAGTAGCAGTAGTTTTACTAAATAGACTTTTTATACTTATTAATTATTAGTTAAGCTTTTTTATACTTATTAATTATCAGTTATATTAAAAAATATATAGCATGTTTAATAAGACTTTTGAGGCTATGCACGTAAGATTTTTTTTTTTTATAAATTAATTTTTTTTATTTCTTGTTCATATTATTTAATAAAACCAAGTAGAGATAGATTAGCTAGTGATTAAGTTAGCTTAATATAACTTCTTAAGCTAGTTATCTGAATTGAGATAGCTTAGTTCCAAAACCATAATTAAAGTCTCAAGATTATAACAGGTTTGATTATCAGCTTATCTTATTTCTTAAGCCAATTATCTGAATTGAGATAGCTTGATTCCAAAACCATAATTAAAGTCCAAGGTTGTAACATGTTTGATTATCAGCTTATCTTATTTCTTAAGCTAATTATCTGAATTGAGATAGCTTAGCTTTAAAGCTATAGATAAGGTTCTAAGGTTGTAACAGGTTTGATTGTCAGCTTATCTTATTTTTCAAACCAATATCTAAATTAAGACGGCTTGGCTCCAAAGCCATAGTTAAAGTTCTAAGATCATGACTAGTTTGATTGTTAGCTTATCTTATTTTTACTTTCTAGTCAAATTCATTATCAAAAACTACTAATATATTTTTGGCAAACTAGTTATATTATATGAATAATCTTAAGTAAA